GGAGCAAAGAAAGAGAGACAGTCACAACCTCAGAGACTGAATCCAACTACCGTCCCTGTCCTCTCCTCTCTAGCAGGGAGACTGAATTCCACAAACCTAGGGACAGGGCACACTCTAGGGGCAAGTCAACTCTCAATTATAGTGAGGGCAGGTTCCCCAGTTGCCAGCCTACATACACCCTGGCCAGCCACCCAAGGGAATACCTGCTGCTGCTAAGGCAGTCAATGTTGGGAGGGTCAGTGAAGGGAAGAGGAAGTAGCTAAGTGTAGAGATTATCCAGGCTTTCCCTCCAGCCCTCTACATACACTGACTTCTGAAGTGCCCCAGGATCATAGTTGGTTCTTCTTAGGGGGAGGGAGTGAAATGGTGGCCTTGCTCCAATTCCAGGCCTCTGGAGAAAGGAGTGCTCAATTGGAGAGTCTCAGAACCTTATACTGTACCTCAGCAGGCCCAGCACCCAACCTTCCCCCACTGTACCCCTGCCATGGGAATGCCCCTTACCACACTGGCTTCCATTCCCAACACGTGAACCAGCTCCTGCACTTGAAGGACAAGGCAGCCACAGGGCAGCTCCGGGAGGTGGGAGGCGTGACTCCTTCATATCAGGCCATCTGGAGGAGCACCAGATTTCCCTCTTGTGAAACAACCCCCCACAGTGGGGATTCAATGGTCACCACACAAGCCCCACAAAACCAGGCCCTGCAGAGCCATGACTAACACCAAGACTTCTCTGAAGATGCAAATAGAACCCTTTGGCAGCTAGAAAGCTCATCGAGCCAAGCTATAGGTACTATCCGAGCCCAGGGTTCATTCTTGAAGATGAGATGTAAAAGCACTGCTGGGCCCTTGCAAGGGGAGAGATCAGAGAAAATAGGAGAACAAACACCAGCTCATGCCAATCTCAGTCTCCTGAGCTATAGAGGAAAAGAGCCAAAAAAGTTTATCCTGGCTCAGCCACCTCCTGGCTTTGTAGCTACAGGCAAGTTATTTAACTTTGCTGAACATTGGTTTTTCCATCTGGAAAAAGGGGACAGGAAAAGGTGCCACTGGAGGCTACCTTAAGGGTCAGTGAGTGAAATGGGGTTGAGTGCTTAATGAACTGTTAAAACATGACACAGATGGGTGAGGTGACATCTGACTGCTCTTCATAGAGCAGTTCTTGCATGGTGAGCAGATGCAGTGTGCTCGTTCATTCACTTGTTCATCAAACACCAACAGTACCCACTTGTGCCAGGCCTTGTGCTGGGCACTGTAGGGGCTATGGGGGGAGTAAGACACAGTCATGCTCTTGAGGAACTTGCTGTCCAGCAGAGTGATAGGACATGAATACATACTTCTAGCAAAGGCTGAATATCACTAGGCAGGTGGCCAGATGAGGTCAGAGCTCTGGCCCTAGTGCCCTGTAGTGAGTTTCGAGGGAGTAGGAAATGAAGACAAAACAGCAAGAGCACAGGTCCAGCACAGGAGGGTGAAGGATGTGGAAAGAGGAGCAGAGCATGATAAAGCTACTAAAGTAGGGGTCAAGTCATGAGGTCCGGGTGAGAAGTCACTGGGGAGCCCTGGACAGGCTCTGAATGGGGGACAGACTAGACTGACAAAGCAGCTCTTTCTGGAGACCTCCCGTGGAGGGTCCCCTCTCCTACCTGTTGAAGAGGAGGTGTCACTCACTTTACGATACACATGCGGAAAGGAAGTTGGAGAGGGGAAAGCACTTGTCTAAGGTCACTCAGTGGTCATGCCAGTGGAAAGCACCCAAAGCCTGGTCCCGGGCCTGCCACCTCCTGCCTGGGCTCCATCTTCTCGGCTCAGTTCAAGCCTTTATTATCAGAGTCCCTCTGTGTGCCAGGCTCTGTGCTGAATGTCCGTGTCGGCCACGAATTGCACTAACAGTGCTTACTGCCACTTTCTCTCTGACCTTACCTCCAAAGACCCAGCTGGGCCTAACCCTCACACACAGCCAGAGGAATCCTTCCCAAACACAGTTAATCACATCGCTCTTCCGTTTACAACTCGCTTACTAAAGCCAACACAGGATAAAATCCACAATCAGTCCCAAACCTATCTTTCTCTGCCCTCTCTAGACCACACTCACTGAGTACCAAGGCCTGCACATTTCGCAGCCAGCCCTCCTGCCCTCCCCCTTGCCCTCCAGTCACACTGGCCCTCAACCCCAACACTGGGCCCACCTCTGAGCCCTGCATCAAACACCAGCACCCCCTTCGCCGAGCTCATTCTTCTTCATTCCTCAGAGCTCAGCTCAAGCATCGCCTGCCTTCCCTGCGACAGGGTCAGGTCCTTTCCTGTGCGCTCCGCAGCACCCTGCCTGTCCCTCGGAGTCCTCGCGAGAGGAACTAGATAACTGTGATCCCCGCGCACAGCACGGTGTCTGCCTAGGACACAGCGCTTCAACGCGCTGAACTAACTAAACGAATGAAGCAGAACACCAACTCAGCTGTCACCCCCGCCCCCAAGTGTCACTGGCTAGAAGATCTTCCCCCGTTCTCTGGCAGCACCGGTGGGTCTTGTCACTGAGGCTGCCGTTGCTGTCTATTGACAGGCGTCCCCCTCAGGAGACCGGGAGCTCCTCCAGCGCAGGGCCCCGCTCAGCACCCCTGGTCCCGGGGGACCCCAAGGAGGCCTCCGGGCTCAGTGAAACTTTGCCGCTCGCAGCAGCGCCCGGAGACCCGCGTGGACCCTCTCCCTGCGTGGACCGGTCAGGGCGCGCCGCCCCTCCCCCGCGGCAGCCGCCCCGACCTGGGCCAAGGTCGGCCAAGTCCTCGCCGCCTGCCCAGCGGCCCTTGGACCCACAGGCCCTGGACCAGAGTGCGCGGAAGCCTCCGAGCCACGGCCAGGTCTCAGAATGCGCGGCGGGACAGCCCGGCCCGTGAAGCAGCGAAGCCGAAACTAGAAGTCTCAGGTCTGGCTTGGTCACTGTTTGCTGGGGGACTCCGACGAGCAACTACCCTTCGGGGACTCAGTTTCCCCCGGGCCAAGTGAAACGGACACCAGCGGCTCCCGCGAGAACTCGCGCGGGAACAGGAGCCGCGAGCTCCGCACAGCGCCTGGCACGTAGACCCAGTCTACTAACGGGCTGGAAGGCCGCGCTCCCGTCTCCACGCCGCCCTAGAACCTCTCTCACCTCAGTCTCGGGCTCCGGGACTCTCTCACCTCACGGCCCCTCCTTCCACCGTGGGCTACCGCCCTCACTTCCGCTGACCCGCCCCCCGGAAGCGATCCTCCGCAGCTGCGCACCGAGCCGCACCTCCGCGTACCGTCGGGAGGCGGGTCCAGCCGGGTGGCAAGAGGAGGGCGGCCCCCGAGTGGGCGGGGCGCTGGCGGGGGCTCGCTCAGATCCCGCGGAGCACACTCCCCCTCTGTCGAGACTATGTCCCCGCGGGGTCTGTGTCCCCGGGAGGAGTTGGCTGCGTTTGGAGATCCCTGAGCCTGATATTCGTCGCGTCTCCCTGCTTGTTACTCTCCACGTTTAGCCCCATACGACTTCTGGAAGCCGAGGGATGTGTCGCTCATCCCCTAAAATATGCTCCTACCCCTAGGGCAAACTTCAGAATTCTCACCCTGGCCCCCTTTCCAGTTCATGGTTCCCAGGCAAGCCCCTCTGCAAAGCCTCTTTCCAGCAAGAATGGGCAGAATGGGCCTCTTTCTCCTCTGACTCCTGCCCTCCAGCACTTTGCAGCTTTCTTCTATTTTAGTCTCTGTCTCTCTGTCTCTCTCTCTCTCTCTCACTCTCTCTCCTCTCTCTCTCACACACACACACACACACACACACACACACACACGGCATATTCAGTGAGTTTGCTCATTAGATGGGTGCTTGATGCACAAGACCCCAGAGGCACTGTGGGAAGAGCCACATTCCTTCCAGGCTCACTAACCCACTCCCTCTTTGTGCTCCAGCCCTCACTGTCCTGGTCTGTGGCATGCAGTTCCTGGGTGACATTTCCTCCTCTGCTTTCAGCACAGCGCCAGGCTGTGCCTGGCTCCCAGGCTGGAGTTCCTTGGTCCCAAAGCCTGCAATCCCCTCTGCCAGAGAGAGTTGGTTTCATGGGTGACCCCCCATGCAGTCACAAAGGGCCCCATGCTCAGAACCCTGTACGTGGTTTAGTACTCTGCTGTACCTGGTTTAGTACTCTGCTGTGCCTGGTTTAGTACTCTGCTGTGCCTGGTTTAGTACTCTGCTGTTGCCGTCTCGAAATGATTAATTTTCTAACAGGGGGTCTTGTGTTTTCGTTTTGCACTGCGCTCTGCAAAATTATGTAACTGGTCCTGGCAAGAGACCTCAGAGGTCATCCACCCTATCTCCACCATATCTCAAATGCTGAAGACTGACTCCCAGGTCCAGCCCTCTTTCCAGGATGGCACATTGTGTTTTAATCATTACTTTCCCCTCTTGTGCTATGGCGGATCATGCAAGTTCACGCTGGCTGGCTGTCCTGGGTGTAGATGCTGATTTGCTGTCCCACTCAGATCCCCTTGCAGGAAGAATGGAGCCCCCTACCTGGGAACTTCCTTCACCTCCCAAGCCAATGACTGATACAAGGCCCAAAAGGCCAGCTCAACTCTGCAGTGTGGTTTATGCCTCACAGCTCTTCCACTGTGGTCAGGCCAAGGCTGGGCTGAGACTGTTCCTGCTCAGCATTTTTCCTTTTCCTCTTCTCCTTCCCTCCTTCTTTTACAGGTTTTTCTGGAAGTACACTCCCTACCCCACAAAAAAAAAAAAAAAAAAAATCACTTCATGCCTGTCTCAGGCTTCGCTTCTAAGACAACTACCAGATCTTTCTCAACAGAGAGCACCAGATTCTCAAAACAGTAAGTCCTACCACTTGTTCTATCACAAACTTATTTTGGGCAAGTCACTCAAGCCCTCGATAGGTAAGATAGTCCCTGAAAGCATTCCAGCCAAGTCCACCCCAGGAGGGAGCCGCCGCATGGAAGGACAGAGCTGAACATGCCACTCAAAGGAAAAGCACTTAGAACCACTCTAGTCAGTCTTCTCTAATTTTATTATAGGGCATGTTGGGGACAGGGGAGGGAAGTGGCAGAGGAGTGACAGGAGGGCAGCCAGGGGCCCTCTCCTATCCTGAGCCTCAAGGCCTGGTGGGGGACAGGAACTACAGAGGCATCAGATGAGGCCTCAGAAGGCCCAGGCCACCAGCATTTTCCATGGGACTAGGCTGGCTCATTGCGGAACTGACTCTCCCAGAGCAGCGGGAGAAGGGTTCGCAGGGGCTCCCCTGCCCTCCCACCAGTGCCTGACAGGATGGGGGAGGCGCAGAGAACATCAGGTGCCCTCCCTCCCCATAAGGGGCATGGGGGATGGGGGCACTTCCTCTCAGGACACAGGGAGCCTGGCTGAGCTGGCTGGCTCATGCCTGGCCTGGAGGTCAGAGGGGAGTGAGACACTCTGGTTTAAAAGGCCTTCCTTTCCATTTTGGGGAAAACAGGCAGGGAGAGAGGCGATGGTGCTGTGCCAAAAAACACCCCCAAATCCAGACGTAGGCTTTGGAGCCACATGTGGGTTTGAATCTGAACTCTACCTGGCTGAGTGACCCTGGGCAAGTCACTTCACCTCCCTGAGACTCAAGTTTCATCAAGATGGGAACAATGAGCATCTGCCTCACAAGCGTGTCGTGAGGATTAAGTGAGAAAGTGCATGTAATATTAGCAATGATTGGATAATACAAAATTAAGAACAAAGTTGGGCGTGTGGCTCACGCCTGTAATCCCAGCAATTTGGGAGGCTGAGGCGGGTGGATCACCTGAGTTCAGGAGTTCAGACCAGCCTGACCAATATGGTGAAACCCCATCTCTACTAAAAATACAAAAATTAGGCGGGTGTGGTGGCATGCACCTGTAATCCCAGCTACTCGGGAGGCTGAGGCAGAATTGCTTGAACCAGGGTTGGGGGGTGGGGGTTGCAGCGAGCCAAGATCAAGCCATAGCACTCCAGCCTGAGTGACAGAGCAAGACTCCATCTCAAAACAATACAAAACAAAACTGAGAACAAGACTGGCTGGGGAAGGCTCAGGGAAGGCTCAGAGAACACGCCCAAGGCAAGCGGGGTAACTCGGCGAATAGAAGGCCCAGGAGTGGCTGCAGAGATGTCTGCCTTCCTTCTTCCACAGCCAGGTTTAAGAGTGAGCCCCGGGTGGGGTGAGAGGGTGAGGAGAGAACTGGGGGCTGGGGAGGGGGCAGCCTGACTTCAAGGCCTTAATGAAAGAGTGCGGGTGCGCCTGTGGGCCTGCGTGGAGAGGATGGGACAGTGCTGGGGGGTCGTGGATCCTCTGAGGACTGTTTTTAAAAAGTTGAAGAGGAGAAGGAAGAGAGGACTATTTCTTCCCATAGGTGCAGCTGCAAAGACATCAAGCTGGACCCATCGAGGATTTCGGATTCAGCCATCATGGGGCTGCTGCCGGGGAAGCCACTGCCCCTCCTTTCTCCTCAGCACTGGGGTTATAAAAAAATACCTACAAACCATGAGAAAGTTTGTATAAAAACACTTTTCTGCACATATAAAAAGAAAGACTGGCCGTGGTCAGTGGCTCAGGACGTGGACCAAAGTCCCAAGAGTGGCCAAGGGGAGTCCGTGGTGCCCCAGTGGTAGAAGAGCTAGCCTGGGGCACCCTGGTTGCCGGACAGCGCCGGCTCTGGAGAAGGCTGTGGTCTTTGACCGGGCTGTGCTTCTGTGCATGCGAGGTCTGAGGGACAGGAGGGGCAGCAGAAGCGCTGGCTCCCGCAGTCCTGTGGAGACCCTGTGCTAAGGTAGGTGGTGGGAGTGCTTTGGCTCTAGGCCTCGGGAACCCCCTTAGTGTGCCCCATTGCTAAAGGCAGAAGCCCCTTCACAGTAAACTTCCCCAGACATCTGGTCAGTGGCATGGTCAGGGAAGCCGCAGGGGGTCCAGTCTGATTTCCGCTTCAATGGAGGGTTCTGCCCAGAGGCTCCAGAAGACTGGCTCCTGCTGAGACCGACCCCAGCTGGGGACATCAGGCACAGGAGGGCAGCCCAGGGTATGGCCAGGAACGAAGGCTCTAGATAAACAGGAGAGCCGCCTTGGAAGCCTGGCCCCTCCTGGCTGGGGCTTCTTGATGTTTCCTGTGGGAAGGGCTGAAAGCAAGGAGGGTGGTGGCCCTGTCTTCCTAGCCTGCTCCTCCTTCCATTCTTCACCCAACAAGGGCCTAGACTGTGCGGCTCACTGGAAAAGGTCCAGAGAGTTCACCCAGGCCCTCATCTGGGGGTGCCAAGCAGCTTTCCAGAGCCAAATGGGTAGGGAGAGCGGAGAGTGACAGTCAGAGCTAGAGGTTCCTCTGCCCAGCCAGCCCAGGCACCCCTTGTCTACCTGCCACCATGGAGCCAGGGCTGTGGTGGCCACCCTCAGTGGAGCTTGTACCCCCCAAGGCAGCCTAGGAGTGGGGTGGGAGTAGGCGGCATCTGCAGTCTGAAATGGGCTGAGGAACACTCTGGCTCTGGCGTGCGGGGGCCTGTGCATCAGATACTGTCCGGCCCCGCAGGCACTCTAGGGCTGGAGGAGGGGCAGGCCACGCCGGAGTCCCTCCTTCAGGAACTGCATGTAGGTGGCCGTGGATGGGTCTTCAAAGGTGGATGAGAAGCTGAAGAGATTGCTCTCGACTTCCTCGGGCTTCATGGAGGTGATGTCCAAGAAGTAGTTGGCATTGATGTGGTGGACCTGGGAGAAGGGCTGGGTGAGGAGAGTGGGACAGAGGGGGCCCCCAGGCTCCCTGTGCCCTCTGCTCTATGGGGAGAAGCAGGGACGCTATCAGGCCTTGACTGTCCTTGTCTGAGGTGATGGTGGGCAGGCAGTGCTGCTGTAAGCCCTCGCCAGCACCCGACACCACCTCATCACCCTGTGTCTGACGAGGGGGCACCTCCCTGCCTTGCCTACCAGGTGAAAACCCAACACTTTCCAACATCACCTCTTCACTAGCCCTCTGCCTCCGCCCCCCGAAATGACCTCTCTCCTCTGTTCCTGTGGCCCTGGACTCCATCCTGAACTCCGTGCTCACTTCTCTCACTGGGGCCTCACACACCACGGGCCTCTCCTTTGGCCTCTCGCTCCAGACAGTGAGCTCTTTCAGCACAGGGCCATGTCTTTATCTTTGTTCCTGGCACAGAGTAGGTGCCCAGCAGATGAACAGACGAATGAATCAGCATTCAGCCAACATTCATATGAGTGGGAGGCCTGGTTCTCCCAAGCAGTTCCCCGACACCATCTCATCACCCTGTGCCTGGGACAGCAGATGCCTTCCGCCTGGTGCCCTTTCCTTTGCACCGAGCCCTCACTGGACACCTCGCCCGTGCCAGCCCCTGCTCCTGACCTGCTCCTGTCCTAAGATCCTGAGGAAGCTGGCCTCCTCCTACGGCCCTGGGCCCCACACTAACCATGCCTTGGGACTTAAGGGATAAGGGGTCGCTTTGATCAGAAGAGCTGGAGATCTGAGGCTCAAGGGCAGGCCTTGGTTCAAAGCCAGCTGCACTTAATTAACTGCAACATTTGTCCAGTCTCTGAACCTTTCTGGGCCTCTTTCCTTGTTTATAAAATGGGCATTCATGATCATCCGTCTCCCAAAGCTGCTGTGAGGCCCCCGTGAGAAGACTTGCTGAGTGCTAAGGGCCCTTAGGGAGAGGTGGGGTCTTGAACCTTGGCTCAGGGCCCTCTCCTGGTCTTCTCTGTCACAATGTCCAGCTACTCCCTCCCGTTTCATCCCTGGACTGGCTGCCATGGTCCAAGGCAAGCCTTCCCTTCCAGGCCATGTTTCTAGCGAGGCACTGACTCTGCCTCAGGACTATGCTCACTGCTGCACAGCCCCCGATGACCAACACCTGCATCACGATTCCTGTTTCTACATGGGGACAACAGAGGCTTAGACTAGGTAAGAGACCAGCTTGAGGCTTTGCAGCCAGGAAGTGGCAGGGCCAGACCCGAAACCTGATGAAGCCTACACATCCACGGCCCCTGCTGGTTGCTCCCTGGGCCCCATGGGGTCTGGGTGAGGGTGCCTACCACAGTGCCATTGGGCAGGCAGATCATCATCTCCACTGGGAAGCTGTACTTCTCCAGGTGCAGGCCAGCCAGCTTCTGATGGGATGGGTTCTCCTGGTTGTTCTGTGGGGACAGTTGCATACTCCTGATGGCGTGGCCCCCACCACTGTTCGAGAGGCTCCTGTTCCTGCCCACCTGCCGGCTCACCTGCAGCTCCTCCAGCTCCTTCACCAGGGACCAGGTGCTGATGAAGCTCTCGTTGAGCAGGGTGAGGATGGGCGAACTTTCCAGGACAGTCTCCCGGAGAGTCCGCCCTGAACCTGTTCAGGAAGAGGTAGAAGCTGGAAGACAGAAGTGTGAGGTGCCCCCACATCTTCCTGGGGTGCAATCTTGCTTTGGGGAGACCTCACGCACTGCAGAACAGTCTCTGCACCCAAGTGAAATAACAGATTCAAAGAGCCTGAGGCAGAGTAGGTACTGAATAAATGGTAGTTGGAATTAACATCCATAATACACCCGCATCCTGGGCTGAGATTAGGGTTAGGGGTTCTACCTGGCCCCGGGGACTTGCTGACAGTGACAGCTTCTTTTTTTTTTTTTTTTTTTTTTTTTTTTTTTTTTTTTCCACTGATTGTCTGAGAGGTTCTGTCTGCCCACTTTGTCGCCTCACCTCGCAGCCTCCTCCAGCTCCTTCACCAGGACCAGGTGTTGATGAAGCTCTCGGGCGGGATGGTGGTGAGGATGGGCGAACCTTCCAGGCAGACACAGTCTCCTGAGAGTCCTACCTGAACTCCACCCAGAAGAGGTAGAAGCTGGAAGACAGGGAAGGGAGCCCCTGCCATCTTCCTGTAAGTAACTTTGCTTGGGGAGACTTCACGACTGCAGAAGAAACTCTGCAAATCAAGTAGTAATAGATTCAAAGAGCCTGAGGCAGAGTAGTAATTGAATAAATGCAGAAGGAATTACATCCAGTGAATGCAATAAAAATATGTAGTTTAAAGGAGTAAAAGAACTCTATCCTGGGGCTGAGATTGTGCTTAGTCACTCTGGCCCTCGGGACTTGCCAAGGTGCGACAGCTTCTTTTTTTTTTTTTTTTTTTTTTCTTTTTTTTTTTTGAGACGGAGTCTCGCTCTGTCGCCCAGGCTGGAGTGCAGTGGCCGGATCTCAGCTCACTGCAAGCTCCGCCTCCCGGGTTTACGCCATTCTCCTGCCTCAGCCTCCGGAGTAGCTGGGACTACAGGCGCCCGCCAACTCACCCGGCTAGTTTTTAGTATTTTTAGTAGAGACGGGGTTTCACCGTATTAGCCAGGATGGTCTCGATCTCCTGACCTCGTGATCCGCCCGTCTCAGCCTCCCAAAGTGCTGGGATTACAGGCTTGAGCCACCGTGCCCGGCCTCAGTGACAGCTTCTTAAATCCAGTGAACATTCTGTGTCCCAGGGCCTTTGCACAGGCTGTTCCTCTACCTGGAACACTCCATCTGGTCACTTGACAAACTCCTACTCATCCTTCAGAGTCTCAGCGTAAATATCACTGTCTTCACAAAGCCTTCCCTGACCCCCAGATATACACTCTGGTGCCACTCTGGACTGTCCCATGTAGAACACTCACCGTGCTTGTACTGATTCATTTGGTGTCTGCCTTTGCACTGTGTCTCCCTCTTTGAGGGCAGGGACCCCTTCTGACTTCCTCACTGTGGGACGCCAGCACCCAGCCCACTGCTACACTGATGGCTGACAGGGTGAGGGCGGGGCACTGTTTCATTCATCTTTGTGCCCACTGCCAGACACCCAAAGAACGTTGCATCTAGGAGGTCTCTGGTGAATTTTCTGAATAAATTAACGCAAGACCAGCCTCTGGCCTGATTTTCCCTCTTACACGTGTATATACACTTAGACTTCACAGTGTATGCGGCACTTTCACCCCTATGTCCACAGCTTTGAGAGGTAAGTGTATTATCCCTTCTTACTATTGAGAAAACTGAGGCTTGGGGAGGAGAAGACACTTGGTCAAGGTCACCGAGCTGACAATGGCTGAGTTTGAACCCAGTCTGCCAGGGCCCTTTCTTCAGCATCTGGTAGCTCCCGCTGGGCTCAGCACAGAAACTCCCAGGCCCTCACCCCACGCCCCTACCCTGGGCAGTCCCCGGGGCCCTCATGACTCAACAGGAGAGTCCCATTGGTTTCAGAGTCTCTGGTACCCAACAAGGTGTGCACTTTTCCCCCTGCTCCCCTTAGATTCAGTCGGGCCCCTCACCTCAGCAGGACTGGTCGTCCAGAGCCCCCCACAGCAGGATCGAGTGCACCAGCTTGTTCTCAGCCTTGGCTCGGTCGAAGGCCTCAGTGAACGGCAAGTAGGAGACCTGGGGCCACGCCGAGACAGAGAGAAGCCATCATCAAAGCGGCCAGGGTCCCACTCGGGCTGTGAGTCTGTAGTGTGTGCAAGTATGTGTGTGTGTATACATGTGAGTTTGTGTGTAGGCATATCTGTGTGTGTACATGTTTGTGTATATGTACATTTGTATGTGTATGTATATGTTTGTGTATGTTTGTATATATGTGTGTATATGTGTGTGTGTATATATATTAGTGTGTTTGTATGTGTGTGTGAAGGGGGTGCTGCTGAGCCAGGGGATGGATGTCTCCTCCAAGTTCTACTTATTATTATTATTTTCATTTATTTTTTCTTTGAGATGGAGTCTCACTCTGTTGCCTAGGCTGTAGTGTAGTGGCACAGTCATAGCTCATTGCAGCCTTGAACTCCTGGGCTCAAGCAGTCCTCCTGCCTCGGCCTCCCCAAAGGTTTAGTACTACAGGTGCGTGCTAACACCACCCCCAGGTAATTAAAAAATTTTTTTGTAGATATGGGGTCTTGCTATGTTGCCCAGACTGCTCTTGAACTCCTGGCCACAAGTGATTCTCCGCCTCAGCCTCCCAAAGTTTTGGATTATAGGCATGAGCCATTGCACCTGGCCTCTTCCTCTAAGTTCCAAATGGCAGCAGGGAAGCCCCACTGGCACACACTGGGCACAACAGTGAGACAGCCTCAGTAGCAAGCCCTGAACACACGCCAGCACCTGTGCCCAGCTGCTGCTCCACAGCTCCCAGCCTCTGCCCGTGCAGCCTGACCCTGGCCTTCACCCCGCCCAGCCTCACCTTCTTGAAGGGGTACATGGCCACCTCCAGGCGCCGGGCAGCCTCCTCCCAGCTCAGCTCCTGCTGCCACTTGATCTCCTCAAACACAAACTGCAGGGACTCCCCCGAGGGCAGGTGGCTGTCGATCACGCTGCCATCCTTATCCAGGATCACCGAGGGCACTGAGGGGCCCATGGCCTCCAGCTCCATCTGGGCCAGAGGTCAGTGGTGGGGGGAAGGCTCAGAGATGGGCAAGAATCTTCAGGGGCTCCCTGAGAGACCCTCCAAGATGCTCCACTCATTGCAGAGGAAGGGCGGGGCCCTGCAGCGAGCCCACCTGGATGGGAGCCTCCTGTGCGCTCACCTGGGGTATGTAGCCGATGTCCACCTCCATGTTGCTGCTTTCACTGGCCCCATAAAGCCACTCCATGTCCACATTCAGAGACCTGGGGATGGCCAGCACAGAGTGACACCATCATCAAAGCCCATTATCTGTGTCACACTTTATCTCACATAATACCTGCAACTGTCTCCATTTTCCAGATGAGGACACTGAGGCTTCTCAAGGTGAACACCTGCTCTCAGAGCCACTGGGATTCTGGCTGCAGAGTCCTGGCCCTCTCTCCACCAGGCTGCGCCTTCCTAAGGCACTGGAGCCACTTCACCGTCCGCCGGCCCTGCCCTTCACAATCCACAAAGGGCCTGCACAGCCATGCCCCGTGTATTCTCCAGGACCCTTCGAGGCAGAGAGATGGCCAGTGCCTCATGGTGGGTCACAGGGTGGGGCAGGAATGAAAGTGAGCACTGTGGTCCCTGCACAGGCCTCTGGTGGGCAGCAGGAAATCTGAGCCGAGCAGTGCAATCTGCAGGTCCGCCGCACGGGGGAGCCCCAGCACTGACAAACCACCACCTCCGCAGCAGGTGGTGCAGAGGGCAGAGCTAGGTACCCACCAGGGGTCAGCAGTCCCTGATGCCTGGTCCTCAGACATGAGCCCAGGAGCAGCTGGTCCTGGATCTGGTCACTGCCTCTCTCCTTCTGTCCCATATAGTCCAGGCCCCCTCCTCAATAACCCCGGGTCGGAGGCAGGTGTGCCCAGCCCGAGGGCTGGTACTTTGACTTGGAAGCCCCTGCTCTGCCCACCCTGGGGAGGGAGGGAAGCCATCCCCACTCCTAGGGGCAATTTTCTCCTCCCATGTCATCCTAACCATCCTCTCACGCCTGCCCTGTGGGTGAAATAGGCCAGGAGTCAGTCTCCCATCTGGCAGATGAGGAAACAGGCCTACGGAGGGCCAGGGCCTTGCCCACAGCCACAGAACCAGTGGGCGCCATAGTTGAGACGTAACTGCAGACCTCCTGGCTCCCAGCCAGGTCTTGTCCCTGTAGAGCGGTCACTCAGGCCCACTAGGTGGCCACTTGCTATCAGTTAGGAATCTGGACAGACTTGAAGCCAGGGCCTCCTGGGTCCTCTACTCTGCTGACAGGTGGCCAGCCCTGAGGAGGTGAGGCAGGCAGGTGGCTGGTGCAGCACTGTCCCGGAAGCCTCTCCAGGGCTCTGCAGCAGTGGAGGGCCTGCCCTCGGCCTTTGCATGTGCTGTTCCTCTGCCTAGCGAAACCCTCAGAGCCCCTTGTCTCTACTGAGATGACCCTCTTCTTCTGAGAAGCCTTCCTGGACCCCACAGCTGGGTCCCTGCCTAGCTGCCGGCCTTCCCCTTGGTGGCACGCACAGGCTGCGATTACAGCTTTGATTAGGGCCTGTCAGCAGTGTGAGGGCGGGGAGGCCCAGCTTCAGGAAGAGTCTATGGGCTGCTGCACTGGGTCCCAGGGACAGAGGTGGAGGGCCAGGCCACGGGGTGCCTGGGAAGAGCTGGTGGGTGATCAGCTCATCCTCTTGCCTGCCTCATGCCGCCTCCTCCCACGCCAGCCCCACGAGATGGGCTCTGGGGAGCAAAGGAAGGGGCAGAGACAGAAGAGGCCCCTAGGCTCCTGGAGCTGGGGAGCAGGACAAGCTGTAGGAGGGAGCCAAGGCTGGGTCAAGGTCAAGCTCCCACCTGTGGTTGGGCACGAAGAGCCGGAAGTCGCGGACGTGGGTGGCGTCTTTGGAGAGGATGATGTGGCCGGTGAACTGACCCGGGGAGAACCAGAAGGGGAAGTCGGGCGGCTCACTGAGCTGGAACTCGGCGTGGATCCTGTGTGAAGGGAATCTCCTGCACCAGAGCTGCCCACCTTCTCCCCAGGAGCCCGGGAAGCCTTGGCCAGACTCATCAGGGAGAGGAGGCTGAGTGTGTGGGTGGAGGTGGATGGGCCAGGGGGCAGCAGCAAGGCCCTCCAAATGCTGCTTGTCCTTTGAGGCCCAGGTCACATGTCCCTCCTCCAGAAGCCCTGCCTGGACCCCCTCCCTGAGCCCCCACAGCTTCTGGAGGGCATGTGTGACTGGATGTCCTTCCCACTTCTGTGTGGATGGCACAGCCATGGCTACCAGCCCCGTGCCAAGCAAGTTCCACAGCTTTTTCTTTCGGAACCCTCACATGCCCTACGAGGAAGTCATCAGCACCCCAATCCACAGGTGAGAAAACTGAGGCTGAGAGAGCCAAAGCTGCTTCCCCGAGATGGCAGGGGGAGGAGAGACAGAGTTGGGGGGCTCAAGCCAGGCCCTCCCCTCTGGGTGCTAAACCGGCTGTGCCTCCCGGAAGCTCCAGGCTGGCCTGTGTGGCCCACTCACCGGAACATCACGGTGTAGTAGAAGTCACTGATGGCAGTCAGGCAGGCCACGGCCCCCTGAGGGGCAAAGCGGGTCTTCACAAAGGGTCGAGGGTGGAACATGCTCAGGAGCCGGTGGATGATGACCTGGGGGCGGTGGGAGGCACGTGCTGGCTTGCTGGGTCCCGCTGAGCCTGGATCCACTGGGGTGGGGGTCAGCCCAGACCCAAAGGCCCAGGGGCCCCATGGGGAGGAGGCAGGTCCAGAGGGAGGCAGGAGAGCAGGTGGGGCAGGTCTGGCACTGGGGTCCAGGCGCAAACAGAGGGATGGCCACTCCTGGGCTGGGGCAGAGGGCCTCAGGTCGCGCCCCGGCTGTCCTCACCTCCTTGCCCTTGGGCGGCGGCGGATAGAAGCGGTTGTTGGATAGGTAGCCAGTGAACACGCTCAGCTCACTGGGGATGATCCACCAGGGCTCGCCCAGCTCCTGGCCTGGCGGGGGAAGGAAGGGCTGGAAGTGGCGGGCGGAAAACACTGCACTTGGCGAGGCTGCGGCCGTCCAGTTTCGGAGGCCGGACAGGGCAAGGCGGGAAACCTGGGGCAGGGGAAAGCGAAGCTCCAGATATCTAAGAACCATGATTCCAGGGCCTCGTGTCCCACGTAGGTGGAGGTCTCCCTCAAGCCCTGAGACAGCCCACACCAAGGGAGCAGATGGACCCCAGGCAGTTTCCTGCCCCAGTGATGGCCACAAGCTTAGCAATATCCCACCAGAGAGAGGCTCCTCTCCCCGCTCCAGTGCCTCTGCAGCTCACCCAGGCGCAGCCCAGGCCAGAGCAGCTCGCTCAAAGGCAGGGTTGGAATGGGGGTGGTGGGGCTCTGTGCCTCACACCATCCCACCTCCCTCCTATGCATAAGCCCATGGGCCAGCCTTGGGAGCCACCACCCTGCCTGGCTTCCCCGCCTTCCAGCAGCCCTGCTCTCCCTCCCTAGTCTCCTCTCCAAGTCTCCTCCCAGGGACTAATGTCCCACTGGCCAGCTCAGGATTTCAGTTTGGAGCTAAGTCCGATGAGGGTGGTGGCCAATCATGTTTGAGGTGAGATCTCTAGGGTCAAGAGCAGGATGAGACCACAGGGAGTGGGAAGGCCGGCCTCCCCCAGAAGGGCCCTGCCTTAAGTACAGACTGCCCCACCTTGGGCAAAAGGCCTTCCCTAAGCCCGAGTCCTCATCAGTGACCTGCCTTGCCTCTGACAAGCTGATGGCTTGAAGAGGACACTCAGAGACCACAGAGCTGTCTACACATCAGCCAGCATTTGAGGAACAGCAGGTTCCCTCTCCTGTCCCCACCTCCCTGGCAGCAGGAGCTCAGGCTTGGTGGGAGGTGGGAGGAAAGCAGTGCAGGGAGCTCCCGTGGAGAGAGATTTAACAGGCAGTTCTCAAGGCAGAGCTGGCTATGCGGGGCCAGGCCGAGCCCGCCCTGCTGGGTCCTGCTTGTAGGCTGGCCACCCCCTGCAGGGGACCTGCCAGAGATGGGTGCTGGGCTCGGTGGGGCTCTGCTCGGGGGCCAGGGCTGGGGGTGCTGTTCCTGCCTCACCCCAGTTCTTGCTGTCTGTGGGGACTCATCCGCTCAGATCAGCCCATCACTGCCAAACTCGTAGAGATATGTTCCCCACCTCCTTCTGTGGAAGGTCAGAGCCGTTTCGACCACTTCCTAGACTCCTGCCTATCTGCTGCACTCTCTCTCCTTGGCTGAGAAGAACACGTTTATTCATGTGTTCATTCCATAAAATGTTTTATGCACCTAATGTATAGGAAGTTTCTCTCAGAGTACACTGTGCAGCCTGTCTTCTTGGAACTTATAGTGGGAGATGGCAAGTAAACAGGAACCAAAATGGGCAGTGCCCTTCCCTGTGAGCTCCTCCTTGGAATTCCCATCCCTGCCTGAACCTTCAGCGATGAGGTTAAGAAAGCGGCTCCCAGCCGGGCGCGGTGGCTCATGCCTATAATCCCAGCACTTTGGGAGGCCGAGGTGGGAGGATCAATCAGGAGATCGAGACCATCCTGGCCAACATGGTGAAATCCCGTCTCTACTAAAAATACAAAAATTAGCCAGGCATGGTGGCAGACACCTGTAGTCCCAGCTACTTGGGAGGCTGAGGCAGAATTGCTTGAACCCGGGAGGTGGAGCTTGCAGTGAGCTGAGATCGTGCCATTGCACTCTAGCCTGGGCGACAGAGTGACACTCTGTCTCCAAAAAAAAAAGAAAGGAAGAAAGGGGCTCCCCAGCACTGCTTCCCTGGGCTGGGCCAGGTGGCAATACCGCCACAGGCACCAGCCTCCCGGTCATTCCCGTTTGCCATGTGGCTGCCAGGCTCTAGAGTTGGGCACTGCCAAGGGGCTGCTGCTGGGCGGCGGACATCCAACATCCCCTGGGGAACTCAACTTCAACATGTGCAGACTGACCTCATTCTCTGCCCCCTTCTCCCTCCCCCGCTACAGTTCCCATCTGGGCGAGCAGCCCACCATGCCCCTGGTCACCAGCCAGAAGCTTGAGTCATCCAACTCCTGCCCACCCATTGTCCATGAGGAGCTGCTCCCTGCCCTTTCTTCCTTCCCCAGCATCCTCCAGGCTGCCCTTACTCTCCATCTCCTCTCCCTCGCCCGCCCAGAACTGGTCTTCTTGGCTCCATTTCTCCCCATTCTTCCCATGCCCCGTCCCTGGCCTGGAAAGCCCAGGTCTCATGAGGAGGCTGTCTTATTTAAAATCTGCTTAGTGTTCAGCCGCCACAGAATGAAGGCCAAAGGCAGGCAACAAGGCCCTTGGTGGGGTCTGGCACCTTCTCTCCTGGCCCCACTGACCAGGATGCCCCTGCGTGGGTCCTGCATGCCTCCTGGGTCCAGCCACACCAGCCGCCTGGCCTCGGTGACCAGCCTGGCACTCCTGCCTTCAGGCCTCTGTTCGTACTGAAGGGGCGTTGGCTGAGATGAAAAGGCTGGGTCGGTGTGGGCTGGGCACAGAGAGGCAGTGTTCCTGGCACGGGGAACCGCGTGTGAGAAGGCTCCTAGTTGGAAGAAAGCCTGGGGATTTGGAAGGAAGGAAGTCTGGTGTGGTTGGAACAGAGGAAGCCCACAGAGGGGAGGAGAGAGTGGGAGACAGTGCAAAAGGGCAGGCAGGGGCTGAGGCAGCTTCATCCTGCAATGCGCTCAGGACCCTGTCCAAAGGGCCTCGGGCTGGGGAGGGGCTGGCAAGGAGAACATCTATCCACCTCCTACCTCCACCTTCTCAGGTGCCCTCCCCACCCCACAGCCCTCTGCTGGGGACCAAACCTCAGGTCTAGATCATCAGAGTTCAACAGAGTACCTATCAGGAGGCAGGCATCAGGCTATACCCTAGGGGGAAGAGATGGATGTGCGGGAAGTAATCATCATAGTATGTGGGACAGCTGCACTAACAGGGTCTCTACTGCACTGCTGCTTCCTCCGAGACTCCCCACCTGCGCTCAGTCACCCTGCTGAGCCCTCCTCATCCTCTTCCTGCAGTCTACCAGATGTCACTTCCTCTAGGAAGTCATCCCAGATTCCCCCATGTGGGGTGAAGACTAATGCCTCTCTCTCCTGCTCCCCCAGCAGGCTATATGCCTGGACAGCAGGGACAACACCACAGCCACATGGACCTCCAGGGCCTGGCATGGGGCCTGGCTCCAGTGGGCACACAGAGGGCAGAGGAAAGAAAGATGAATGGAGCAGAAACTCATCCTCAGGAGACGGATGCACACAGATGATCCCGCTGCCTGTGGTCCCCTACTCACCCCTAGGAAGCCATCTTTGCTTTTGGTCATGGTCTCCGGGAGCAGAGGCTGGAATCGGGCTTCTATGGTGAGTGTCTCCTCGCTAGGGTCAGGGGGCAACTCCTCCTCCTCGTAGCTGGCCGCAGGAGTTGACCCTATGAGACACAGATCATCAGAGGGGCACTGCCCTTACGCTGCAGAGCTCAACTCTCCCTGGTCATCCACACTAGCTGGTGATTAACGCAGCCAGGCAGGGGGTGGAGGTAGCTGGGGTGTTAACAGTTAACAATCACCGGAGTAACAACCAGTGTATCACATTTTAGTTTCAGGATAGCCCAGGGAGTCAGATAATAACATTACCAACTCCATTTGACAAATAAGAAAGTGAAGGTTCAGAGAGGAAAAGTCACTTCCCCAGGTTACATAGCTAGATGGTAGAGGAATTGAGATTGAAACCCAGGCTTGTGTTACTTGAAACCCATGACCAACCATGACCCTTTTCTGGGTCTTCTGGGACTGAGAGGAACTCAGTCAGGGGAACCAGAGTAATGAATGAAGCAAGAAACAGAAACAGGCTCTTTGGTGTCATAGGGAGAGCACTGGTTTGGGAGTGAGGAGACCCACTTTCCCCTACTTTTTTGGAGGGAAGGGGAACTGCTCCGGCTGCAGGAGGGGCTGGACTGGCAGTGGCTAGATTTTATTTCTTGGATCTTTTCCTGCTCAGAGATCTGGCAAGTCTGTAACCTTCCCAGTGTGGAAGGATTCATTTTGAAGGGCTAAGGGAGAAATGACGCCTATTTCAAAAGGGGTGAGTAATAGTCACCGGTAACAAAATGAAGCCGGTGGGGGGTGGGGGTGGGTCTTGTCCTGTCTGCCCTCCCAGGGCAGGGTAGTGGTACAGAGATGATGCCTGGCATTTGCTGACTGAATGGCTAGCAGCCTGAACGATGCATTAAAGCCGTTCTCAACCAGAAGTCCTCAAAATCACCCAGGATGCCTTTAAACTACAGATGCTCACAACCCACCTCAGACCTACTGAATCACAATCTGCAGGGGTGGGAGTCTGGAAACTGCCCTTTTAACGAGCGCTCCCTGCTGCTCCTGATGCAAATCCCTATTCTGAAGCATCACTTATTTCTATATTTGTAAGTCAATGCAATAAAACTTTCCAAAACGCAATCTAGAAATCCAAGAAGAAGGGAGCAACAGGAATATGCAGGGTTATTAGTCGGCCTTGCTTATTCAATTATTTTACTATCACAGATAAATATTAATAATAATGATTCCCAAGGCAGCTCATGCCTGTAATCCCAGCACTTTGGGAAGCCGAAGCTGGCGGATCACCTGAGGTTAGGAGTTCAAGACCAGCTTGACCAACATGATGGAACCCCATCCCAGGCCAGGCGCGGTGGCTCACGCCTGTAATCCCAGCACTTTGAGAGGCCGAGGCGGGTGGATCACGAGGTCAGGAGATGGAGACCATCCTGGCTAACATGGTGAAACCCCGTCTCTACTAAAAATACAAAAAACTAGCCGGGCGTGGTGGCGGGCGCCTGTAGTCCCAGCTACTCGGAGGCTGAGGTGGGAGAATGGCGTGAACCCAGGAGGCGGAGCTTGCAGTGAGCCGAGATCGCACCACTGCACTCCAGCCTGGGCGACACAGCGAGACTCCGTCTCAAAAAAAAAAAAAAAAAAAAAGAAAAAAAAAAAAAAGAAACCCCATCTCTACTAAAAATACCAAAATTAGTTGGGCATGGTGGTGCACACCTGTCATCCCAGCTTACTCTGGGGGCTGAGACAGGAGAATCACTTGAACCCAGGAGGCAGAGGTTGCAGTGAGAGTAAGCCGAGCACTCCAGCCTGGGAGACAGAGTAAGACTCCGTCTCAGAAAAAAAACAAAAAACAAAAACAACACAATAATAATAATGATTCCCCCACCACCTAGCTGTATGATCTGGGGAAGGGACTTCACCTCTCTGAGCCTTTACTTTCTCATTTGTCAAATGGAGTTGGTAATACTGTTATTAATTATAATACTACTACTCAGCATTTTACAGCCCTTTGGCTTTTTAATGAAAACTTTTATTTCCTGACTTAAGAGTAACATTTGCCCATTATAGGCAATTTGTAAAAATTTTAAGGGATAAGGCAGAAAATTAAACACACTCATAACTCTACCAAATAGAACTTGTTGGCTCCATTTCCTGCTTGGATTTGATTTCCCCCCTTTGATTTCTCAAAACTTGGTCCGTTTTTGCATTCACAGTCTAGAGGTAATGGGGGAATTCTTTCACCCTGCTGGAGAAAAAGACTTCTGTGCAAAAAATTAAAAGTGCGCCTCAAGCCCAGCAAGCTTTGCTAACATGTCATTATGAGAGAACTCTCACTCTGGCCACAAAAAAGGACAAAGAGGTGGCTGTGCAAATGCTCAGAAGTGTATGCAAAATAAGAGGTACAGGCAAGGCCACAAGGAGACGACCTGCTTATCTGCCCATCTGCCTTCATGACAGAACTGCCTGCCACCAAGAGACATCGATACACATCCACTCCAGCTCATTAGCATTTTCCATCCAACCTTTCTCCTCTAGCAGCGATCACAGGTCACCGGACCAGCACGGAGCCAACCTACCCAATACACCCCTGAAAAACAGCAGGCCCGTGACAGTGCTTTGGAGCTTATGCACCCGAAACAGCCAGCATGTCTCTTTTGCCTTTCCCATCGATGACTGATTTACACCAGGCAATCTGGGTAACAAGTAGGTGCCGGGCCGGGCGCGGTGGCTCAAGCCTGTAATTCCAGCACTTTGGGAGGCCGAGACGGGCGGATCACGAGGTCAGGAGATCGAGACCATCCTGGCGAACACGGTGAAACCCCGTCTCTACTAAAAATACAAAAAACTAGCCGGGCGAGGTGGCGGGCGCCTGTAGTCCCAGCTACTCCGGAGGCTGAGGCAGGAGAATGGCGTAAACCCGGGAGGCGGAGCTTGCAGTGAGCTGAGATCCGGCCACTGCACTCCAGCCTGGGCGACAGAGCGAGACTCCGTCTCAAAAAAAAAAAAAAAAAAAAAAAAAAAAAAAAAAAAAAAAAAAAAACCAAGTAGGTGCCGAAGATCCTAAGTTCAAGAAATGTCACAAGAAGTTGGAAGAAAATGGACACAGAGGTTGGGGTGATGGTGGGGGCAGCGAGAAAAGCATTTTATAATTCATTAGAATGTTTCAGCCCCTCATCTTTTTTTTTTTTTCGAGACGTAGTCTCGCTCTGTCACCCAGGCTGGAGTGCAGTGGCGCGATCTTGGCTCACTGCAAGCTCCGCCTCCTGGGTTCATGCTATTCTCCTGCCTCAGCCTTCAGCCCCTCATCTTTAACCAAATAAATAAATAATCACTGACTGCACTAGGCAAAAATGATAGCAAGAATGGAATAGGAGACCGGACACAGTGCCTCATGCCTGTAATCCCAGCACTTTGGGAGGCTGAGGCAGGCAGATCACTTGAGGTCAGGAGTTCGAGACTAGCCTGGCTAACATGTAACATGGCAAAACCCCATCTCTACTAAAAATACAAAATCAGCCCAGTGTGGTGGTAGGTGCCTGTAATCCCAGCTCCTGGGGCGGCTGAGGCAGGAGAATTGCTTGAACCAGGAGGCAGAGGTTGCAATGAGCTGAGATCACGCCACTGCACTCCAGCCTGGGTGACACAGCAAGACTCCAGCTCAACAACAACAACAAAAAGAATGGAATAGGAATCTGAAAACACCTAAGCAGAGTTTCAGATTTAGTAATAATAGTTACAGCTCCTGGCTGGGCGTGGTGGTTCACACCTGTAATTCCAGCACTTTAGGAGGCCAAGGTAGAAGGATCGTTTGAACCCAGGAGTTTGAGACCAGCCTAGGCAACGTAGTGAGACTATATCTCTACAAAAATAGAAAAATCAGCTGAGCATGACAGCACGTGCCTGTGTCCGTTACTCAGGAGACTGAGGCAGGAGGATCAACTGAGCCAGGGAAGTTGAGGCTGCACTGAGCCATGACTGCACCACTGCACTCCAGTCTGGGTGATAGAACAAGACCCTATCTAAAAAAAAAAAAAAAAAAAAAAAAAAAGTTGTAGCTGTCGTCTATTGGAAATCTGCATATTCGTCACTGTGCATTTCTTTTCTCTACTCCTGAAACCTGTGAGCTGGTACAGGACCCTGGAGCCAGATGGCCCCAGTTCTAGCCCTGGCTCCCCACCTTTCTAGCTTGGGAAACTGGGGAGCCTGCCTGTGTCTTAGTCTCTCAAACTATTAACCATGGGGATCATGACAGTGTCCATCTCCCAGGGCTACAGTGAGGTGTAAAGAGAGAACCCACATGAAGCACTTAAATGCCTGGCACGGAGGAGGTGGCCAAGGAATGGTTTTTTTGTTTTTTTGGTTTTGCTTTGTTTGTTTTGAGACAGGGTCTCACTCTGTCACCTGGAGTGTAGTGGTGTGATGTCAACTCACTGCAACCTCTGCCTCATGGCCTCAAGTGATCCTCCCACCTCAGCCTCCCAAGTAGCTGGGACTACAGGCATGCGCCACCACACCCGGCTAATTTCTGTATTTTTGTAGGGATGGGGTTTTGCCATGTTGGCCAGGCTGGTCTTGAACTCCTGGGCTCAAGCAATCCTTCTGTCTCCCAAAGTGTTGGGATTATAGGCGTGAGTCACCTTGCAGACCAAAGAATGTTAACTGGTATTATTGTTCACAAGTCTGAGAAAAACAGGCTTAGGGGTTGCTGGAGCAGCTAGTCCAAGCCACCAGCTACAAAGTGTCAGAGCTGGGAGGAGTCCAGGGCCTCTGAGACCCCAGGGGCTTCCCTCCACTCCAGACAGCCCCTCCTGCTCAGTGAAGACAGCGTGGTCAAGGCGCCCTCCTCCCCAGCCGCCAGCCTCTCCTGGTACCTGTTAGCTTCTCAGCAATGGGTTTGAACTCCTCAGGGCTGATGTACATATCCCCGTCAATGTCCAAGGAGGAAAAGAGAAAAAGGCCATCTGTCCCCAGGGTCTTCAGCGCTGATTCCTGCTTGGGAGGAGAGACTGGGCTGGGCACCAGTTGGTGGCCTCCTCTCCTGGTCCCCAACAAGCAGTTGCTTCCGGATGGTGGGAGCCCCTCCTCCCACCATCTTCCTGAGTCCTCCCAGGGCCTCCCGGTCCATCTGTGCAAATGTCGCCTCTGTACTGCTCCCAGAGCCTCCAGTCCCTCCCGGTCCCTGCTCATCCACTGTTTGGTCCGACTGCCCCTCCCAGTTTGTCCTCAGCCCGCCTTCGGTCTGGCCCTGGCTGCTTGGCCCTGTTCCTCCTGCACCTTCTGTCCTCTCCTGTGTCCCCTCCTCACTGTCCCAGGGCTCCCCAGTGCCCCTTTCAGACTCTGTGCGTCCCAGCTTCACTGTGTCCAGGTCACCCCTCTGGACAGACCCCTCCAGTCTGTCCCAGCTCCACAGTGACCTCCGTTCGCCTCCTCCCCATCAGTCCGGCCCCAGGCTCCCCCACCCGCCTCCCGTGTCCCCTCCTTCCCGTGCTCCCCCCATGCGGTCCCCCTCCGCCCCCCGCCTCCCCCGACTCGTCCCTGCCCATGTCCCCCTGCTGCCGACGCTCGGCCCTTCAGTCCCCGCTCCCGCGCCCCCGCCCCGGCCTGCTCGGGCCCGGACCTGCCGCGCGGCCTCCTGGGCCTCGGCGTGGCGGGCGCAGACCCGGACGGCGGCGGCGGCGGCGGCGGCCAGCAGGGCTCCGAGCAGCGCCAGGGAGCGGGCGCGGCGGCGCGGTGGCGCGGGAGGCTGCGCGGCGAGGCCGGGGCTGGGCGGCCCGCGCGACCAGCCCGGCCGGGCGGCTAATGGCTGCGGCTGGCGGCGGCTGCGGGCGGCCCCCAACGCCAGGGAGCGGAGCGGAGCGGGGCGGGGCCGGGAGCGGGGCGGGAGCGGGGGGCAGGGCGGTGGCAGGGCCGTGCGAGGGATCGCTGGGTCCCGGCTTCGCGGCACGGCCCGCGCCCAGAGGCAGGGTCAGCTGCTGGAGCGCCAGGCGAAACAGGCGCGTCTATGTGGTAAGTCTGTAGTCGGCTCCACCCAGCCTCCTGACCGCTTGCCTGCCTCTCCCGCGCCCCTTCCCTGTGCTTCCGTTCCCAAAGCTGAAGCCAGAGCCTCTGCGGCCCTTCTTGCCCGGCCCAAGCCGGAGAGCGATTACAGGCTGGGCCCATGGCTGCGGCTGGCGGCGGCTGCGGGCGGCCCCCAACGCCAAGGAGCGGAGCGGAGCGGGGCGGGGCCGGGGGCGGGGCGGGGCGGGGCGGGGCGGTGGCAGGGGCCGTGCGGGGGTCGCTGGGTCCCGGCTTCGCGGCACGGCCCGCGCCCAGGGCGGGGTCGGCTACACCGGAGCGCCCAGAGGGGCTGAGCGCGTCTATGTGGTAGGGTCTGTAGTCGCGACCACCCCAGCCTCCCCAGGCCGCTTCCTGCCTCTCCGCGCCCCTTCCTATGCTTCCGTTCCCAAAGCTAAGCCAGGCCTCTGCGGCCCACTTGCCCGGCCCAAGCCGGAGAGCGATTGCAGGCTGGGGACTGGGACAAAGAAGGGACTGGGGCCAGAGGCTGGGGAGAAGTCACACACCCTGTGCTCTCCTGGAGAAGGGGCGTCGAGGGCCACTGAGGCCTGGTGTCCGCCTCTGCTGGCAGCCGTGTACGAGGCCAGAGACTGCTGAGGGGCATCCGTCCATCCTTATCCCACAAGTTTTCTAAAAGTTCCTCTGTCATCTAGAGCAAGACAAATTAAAAAGAAAGCCCAGCCCGTGTTCCCCTCATGTGCAGTTGTGGGGCCACCTCCGCAGATGCATGGGTTATGGGGATCGGCCTTGTTCCAGGCACAGCAGGTGCTGCTCTGAACCTGCACTTCCCTGGGCCCAAATTTCCTCATCTCCAGCAAGGAGGTAAAAGAGCTCCCCGACCCCCACCCTCCGGGCTCTGGCCTGGTGAGGGGAAGGCAGGGCTGTAGCCCCTCAGCAGCTGGAGCTACCAGAGGCCCTGGCTTTTCTGGAGAACAGCACGTGGCATGCTTGGAGGAGAGCCTTGGAAATAGAGGTGGGTGGAGTTGAGGACATATTTTAATGCCTGTCAATCCCCAGGAGCCTTGGTTCCTTGGGGCTCTCTTCCATTCTTTCAAAGCCCCCAGTTACCACGGGGTGGCTCTACCTGCATTTTCTCAGGCAAGGGTGGCAGCTACAGAAGCCTCTAGGCAAGAACTCTGAGCCCAGAGGTGAGCAGTGCCTGCCCTTGCGGAACCCCACCAGCCCCCCAGCGCAGGGGCACTTATTAGGCCTGAGGGATCCAAAGGATGCTGAGCTCTGCCCATGTGCTGGACTTGGGGCGGGGTGATTTACACACTCTCACTCTGTTCTCAAGCCACCTTGTGAGGCAGAGGCTGCTTGCCTGGTTTTCAAATGAAGAAGCCTGAGCTCTGGCACCCAGGTCTACCTGGGTCCAAATCTGCTATCCTGCCTCCCAGGCTTCCCAGGGGATGGCCCAGTCGACTGAGTTGGGGGTGGGGTCCTGCCTCCACTGCCCATTCTGTTCTTTGGTAGCCAGCCATGGCAGCGCCAGGTGAGGCCTTCCCAGTGCCCATGCAGGGCGTGGCACATGGTGGGCACTCCTCAGTGTCAGATGGATGACTCCCAGGGATCTTCCAGAGTTGTGGGCCCAACCCAACCCTTGCCCTGTGCTCTGGCCCCAGTGTCCTTAGAGGGGCCCACTGAGGGCCTGACATCTGGCGTTGGCTTCTGAAGGCTTCCAACTGTGCCACTTTCAACTCATTATTGCTACTGTTTCGGGACACCCTGCATATGACAGATGCTACTAGAAAACCAAATTCCGTTCTATGGGAAGCAAAACTAGCCGAGCACAAAGCAGGTTAGGAGGGGAAGATTGATGAGCTAAAGCTTCTGGAAAATCAACAAAGGAAGTTTTCTTTCCCAGATAACTTTTATTTATTACACTTGCTTTTTCTTAAAGATACAGATACCCTACTGGTCTCTGCTGCCCAGCGCTGAAGAAATGGGCTGCTGGGGCTTGTGGGACTTGGGGGATGATTCTAGAAGCTCAGGAAGGCATACAGTGGGGTTGTGTTTATGACACTGAGGTCAGATCAGTGTGCCTCTGGGAAAAGGATCAATGTTGGGCCCAGCTCTGGGAGATGTCAGCTCTGGGAGATGTCAGCTCTGGGACTGGCAGTGGAGCAGCGCTGGTTTCCCACTGGAGAGCGCCCTTCCCAGAAGGGCTTGTCCCAAACCAAGATCCCGGGCAGGGCAAGGCCTTGAGAGGTAGGGCCTAGTGGGCGGTTCTGGCCGGGGCAGCCCTGCAGGATCTCTTTGGCACCTCGTTGTTGCCTCCCAGTGGGCAAGGGTGGCACGTGCGAACTGGCAGCCAATGGGAGCCACAGCGAGGTGAGTGACGCACCGGCCACATCCATGAGGGTCTCGGAGGTTAGTGGGCACTCGTTCATTCATCCTTCCAACACGTGTATTGAAGGACTACTATGCCGTGTCCTGGGGATTCGGCGTCCATCGAAAACAAAACAGTCTGCTCTTCCAGATGAGTCGATGGATACTGCAACCCTCCTCTCGAGGGGGGCTCTGAAAGGGGTGTGCACAGAGGAGGGTCCCCCTGACTATCAGGAGAGCCCAGAAGAGGCTTCCCAGAGCAGAGGTCTGGCCAGACCTTGACTTCAGGAGATCACCAGGCATAGCACCCAGGAAGATCATTCCAGAGGGTGAGAACAGCAGAGGCGAAGGCTGGGGGGTGTGAAACCCGATGAGGTATCCATAGCGTCTTGAGAACATAGTCCAGTGGATTTAAGCAGAGGGACCCGGAGGGGAGTGTGAAGAGGGAGGAGGAGGCAGGAAGGTTGGGCTGGAGCTCTGGTCCGCTTGTGAAAAGCCTGGACTTTACCACTGAGACAGTGTGGAGGCATCAGAAGAGAGGGACATTCGGCCACTGCAGCACCCTTCAGACTCCCTACTGCGTCCCAGCTTCCGCCTGGGGGCAGAGGACCACAGATTTCCACACCCACCTCCTGCGCAGAGGGTGTCGGTGTAAGCACTCCAGGCCACTCCATCCACCCACCAGAAGAGGAGGGAGCCTGACCTACGTGCAGCCACACATTAAGCAGGGGCAGGGTCACTGCCTCGAACCCCCTGGTCTCTGTCTCTGTCTCTGTCTCTCTTTCTCTGTCTCATACACACACACAGACACACACACACACCCCTGCCGGCCTCCTAGTAGCATCCTCTCTTCTGCTTCCCGTCTCTTTGGGGTAAACTCACCAGGGTTTACTTCCTGCAGGGGGTGCTGCTGCACTCCAGGGGAACAGATCAAATTAGGATTTTCCACTCCAGTTTCGCCAGGGAGAGGGCCATTTGGCTCTGTTTTTTTTTGTTTCTCCTTTTCATCTGGGACCCTAGAGAGGCAGGTGATTTCCCCCAAACCCAACCTTAACATCTTGGCAGCCAATAATAGGACCAGCATTTGAGAACAAAGGATCACTTGGGGGAAACAGGCTTCTGGTGCCACTGCAGGAGTTGCTTAAGCATGCCTGGACCACGTGGCCCTCTCCGCAAACTAAGTACCTGCTATGTGCGAGGGACTGTTCACAGCCCTGGGAACACAGTAGGATAGAAGACGGGCAAGGCACTTCCTCTCTGGGGGCTGAATATTCTACTCAGAGGAAGGAAATGACAGACACACAAGGTAATTTCAGAGAAAGGTAAATGTGAAGGAGTGAGACAGAGCACTGTGGCACAGTGCCACAGGCAGGCATGAGCAGTGTAGCTGGGAGGTAACATGTACACTGGTCCTGGAATGTGAAGAAGCAGCCAGCTATGAGAAGAATTGAGGAAGGCGCATCCCAGGCACAGAGAAGGGGGAGAGCCAGTGCAAAGGCCTGGGGTAGAAACAAGCTTGGCATGTCCAGGAGACACACAGAAGGCAGAGTGAGTCATGGGGAGAGAAAAGCTTGGTGACAGAGACTGGTGCAGGACATCGGAATCTTGCAGGCCATGGCAACAAACTTCATTCAATTTATTTATTTATTGAGAGAGGGTCTCGCTCTGTCACCCAGGCTGCAGAGCAGTGGCATGATCTCAGTTCACTGCAACCTTGAACTTCTGGGCTGAAGGCATCCTCCCACCCCAGCCTCTCCAGTAGCTGGGACCACAGGTGTGAGCCACGGCACTTGGCCAAACTTCATTCTAGATATGATGTGAAACCATTATAAGGGTTTTTTTTGTTTGTTTGTTTTTTTGAGACAGAGTCTCGCTCTATCACCCAGGCTGGAATGCAGTGGCACGATCTTGGCTCACTGCAACTTCCACCTTCTGGGATCAAGCAATTCTCCTGCCTCAGCCTCCCGATTAGCTGGGATTACAGGCGTGTGCCACCATGCCTGGCTAATTTTTTTGTATTTTTAATAGAGACAGGGTTTCACCATGTTAGCCAGGATGGTCTCAATCTCCTGACCTCACGATCCACCTGCCTCGGCCTCCCAAAGTGCTGGGATTACAGGCGTGAGCCACCGCGCCCGGCCCCATTATAAGGTTTTAAGCAGGGTGGTGACAATGTGTAACTTGGTTTTTTGTTTGTTTGTTTGTTTGTTTTTGAGATGGAGTCTTGCTCTTGTTACTCAGGGTGGAGTGCAGTGGCGTGATCTCGGCTCACTGCAACCTCCACCTCCCGGATTCAAGCAGTTCTCCTGCCTCAGCCTCCAGAGTAGCTGGGATTACAGGCGTGCGTCACCACGCCTGGCTACATTTTGTATTTTTAGTAGAGACGGGGTTTCACCATATTGGCCAAGCTGGTCTCAAACTCCTGACCTCAAGTGATCCGCCCACCTCGGCCTCCCAAAGTGCTGGGATTACAGGAGTGAGCCACCACACCCGGCTGGTGACTTGTTTTTTAAAAGCCCTTTCTGATAGCCCAGATGCAGAAACAACCCAAATTTCCATCAATGAATGGATAAGCAGTGCGGTGTATCCATTTGATAGGTATTAGTTGGCAATAATAGACCTTATAAACCTTAAGCTGAGTGGAAAAAGCCAAACACAAAGACAATGAATGTGTGATTCATTCAGTGAAATGTCCAGAATCCACAGATCCAGAGAGACAGAAACTAGATTAGCAGTTGCCTGGGGCTACAGTGGGAGATGGGTAGGAGGAGGCTGGGGAGTGACTGCTAATGGGTACAGGGTTTCTTCTGGGGTGATAAAATGTTCTAAAATTAGATAATAATGATGCTTGCACAACTCCGTGCATATACTAAAAAAACATGAATTGTCCATCTTTGAAGTGGGTGGATTTTATGGCATGTAAATGATATCCCAGTAAAGCCGCTTGGTTTTGATGTTTGTTTAAAGACCTTTCTGGTTTCTGGGTAGAGAATAGAGTTAGGCGATGGACAGAGGAAGGAGGGAGACAGGAGGCTAATGCAGTCCCCCAGGCATAAGATAGCAGGGCTTGGGCAGGCGTGGATAAGATGTATGAGTATAGTGGAGCCACAGACAGGATTTGCAGATGGGTCAGAGGTGGGCGGTGAGAGGAAAGACCAGCACCAGCTGTGGGTTGAGCTTCGGTAGCTGGTAGCACCATTCTGAGATGAGGCTGGAGGAGCCCTGACTTGGGAGAACCCTCGGTCCAGTCTGCCAGGTTAAGAAGCCTGAGAGCTG